AGCTCCCCACACCCTGCCACATCCAGCGGTTGTCCAGCAGTGCCCTCAGGAACCCCCTGTCCTGCCCCCACCCGTGTACCAAGCACAGACCCCACAGCTCCGCTCGGGCACGGCCGGGGGCAGGAGGGAGCTCCAAGGGAGGTGCTCAGTCGGAGGGAGCACACTGGCAGCTCTGCGCTGCCCACTCCATGTCGCTGGGGTGTTTGTGTTCTAGAAACACTCGGGGCAATAAGTAGCCACAAAGGTGGAGTCATAGCCACAAATTGCAAGGGACCCCAGAGAGGAAAGTGGTCCTGCCTGCCCTCACCTCTGGCAAAGCCAGCCCCAGGACAGGCGCTGTGCCCAAACTGTTTCTCTTCAGGCCAATCCACCCTCATAACCAAGAGCCACCAAAGCCAAGCGAAAAGCTCAAGCGCCGAGTCCAGCCCGGCTGCCTGGCACAGGCAACTCCCACCACCCATGGCAGAGGGGCCCGAAACGACGTGGAGACAGGGACACTGAACAGGGCCTGGTATCAGCTCCGGAGAGGCTGAGTGTGGGAGAGCAGTGCCATCCCCAAGCCAGGGAGACACTGGGTCTCCCCGGGACACAGCAGCACCTCTGGCTGCAGAGGGAATGGGAAGGGCCCCTCACAGCAGCGAATGTGGCCGTGGTTCGCAAGGCTGGGCCTCTGACACTGGCAGGCCCCTGCTGCCAGCCACATGCCGCTGCTCAGCTCCAGTCCCCACCAACAGCGAAACAGGTCGGCTACAGGTGCTTCCCGGCACTGTGAAAGCTAACCTGGGCTTGCCAAATGCAGGAAAGTGTTTTTTGCCAAATTTCTTTTGCCTCTAGGATGAAAACCCCCCGAGGAGTGCGAGACGAGAAGCAGCAACTGCTTCATGCAGGGCCAGGCCAAGCTCCATCACCTCCCTCCTGCGCCTCTGAAGGGGTGGCACAGGGTAACTGCTGGGCAGGGTGACAGCAAGCTCCGAAAGGGATCCTGGAGTGCTGAGAAAGGATCATCATCCTCCCAAGAAGGGGTGAGGGGGAGAGCCGGGGTCGCATGTCTGCTGTCACTCCTCTGGGAGAAGCCTGCTGCTCTCACGCCTCACTGAGGGCTTGGCTCCCTCAGGTGCTTTGCCCACAGTTATTTCTAATGGCAGGCAGGAGCCAAGCGGGGCTGGGGCTCTGCCCAATTCCAGCTGCCAGACTGATGCCAGCCCAAGGCTGCTGCAGGCACCGTGGGGTTTCAGAGGAGTGCAGACAAAGCACACATTATTCCCATTCATCTGTTCTAAGCCCTGAGACTTTCTGCCTCTCTGCCATCAGGAAACATGCAGCCAGGAGGGATGTTCAGCCTCCAGGTGTGCAGGGGCACAGAGGTTTTGGCACCGCTAATGTCGGCACTGTAGGAGCCGCTGCAGGGGAGAGAGGGTGAAAGGCCGCCCTGGCTGGATGCCAGGTGTACCAGCGAGAAGCAGCTGATGGGCTGGGCGCTCGTACAAAACCTTATTCAATCATTCTCCGAGCTGGGAAAGCCTGGCCTCGCTGCTGAGAGAGGAGGTGCCTCTTTGCCCTCTGCTCTCCCAGCCTTCGTGCGGGTGCGAGCACCCACGTGGCTGCAGCGCGTACTGGATCAAGATGCCAGCTAGAGCGAAACTGCTTTCTGCCAAGTTTGTCTCACCCTAGAGCAGTTCCCCAACCCAGTTCATGCTGGGGCTGCACAAACACCTTCACTGGCCAGAGGAAAGTGAGAAGTCAGGAATGGGAGCAAGGGGCCAGGGAGAAGGGCCACCCCTTCGCACAGCAGTGCCAGACCAGGCCTGTGTAAATGCTCAAGGAACAACAGAAGGTGAACAACAAGACACAATTTGCCCCCTGTGTTTGGAGCACACTCGCACTTGGCAGGAAGTGGCCCCCTGGTTCTTGCCTGCAGCACCCCTCACTCAGCACCCAAAGGCCTTTACTGGGGTAGCTGTGGAGGAGGTTGTCTATCCCCCAGCCTCATCATTCCACAGACTTCTGGCTCCTCCACGTCCCGAACACAGCCAACAGAAACACTTCCCTTGTGCGCACAAGTACGTTTGTCACCTTCTGCTCCTTGTCTCCCAGGAGGGATCAGAAATCTCAAGGCTCAAGCTCGCCTCTTACTTCAGTTTCTCGGTGTGCCTGACACACAGGCTGAGCCAGGGCAAGCATAGAGCCACTCGGTGCAGACACCCAACCCAGCACGGCCACACATAACGTTCCCAACCCGTGTGGAAATCACCGTGCCCCCAAAGCACCGTGACAGCAGCGAGTCCTTATAGCCGTGCTATGTGGGGAGCCCAGCAAGCCCAGCTCCCCCAGGCCCTGACAAGTCTTTGGGGAAGATGACTCTTGACCAGGCGGCAGGTGGCAGGCCCCCGGCCTGTCCTGCGCTACTGCCCGGCCTCCAGCATCTGGAGAGGGGAAAGGGACGGGGAACGGTACTTCTGCCCAACCGCCCCA